GTACCCATATGAAGTATAAATATTTCCAGCATGTCCAGGACACCTGTCTGTCCATGGGACTGACCCTCATTGTGCTTCATTCCAGGTTTCACCTTTCCCACATTTCTCACGTTTTCCTGCTAACAAAGGGGTATGCTTTACGACATCATTCATTTGATTTCAGTCCTCTGACTGCTAGGGTTTTGACCTCTAAAGAATATTGATTTGTTCTTATTGATTTGATTAGTTTGATTTTTCTAATAATAATAATATTCTTCATACATTGGTCAAAAAGTCTGATTCACCTCGTCCGATCATATGCATCATGCATGCAGTGTTTATAGAAAGTACACAACATATGTTAAATGCAGTTTCTTGTAGTCTCTTGTTTTCTTTCATTCGGAACAGTGATTTCAACTTCAAGTTTTGAAGGATCAAGGAGCATGAACTGGTTTGTCGAACTGTGATACGAAGCAGTCTGGGCTCTGCTTCCTTTTGAATCTTTTCTATTGAGAAGCTATTCTGAGGTATTAACCACCTCCAGAGGAAGTAATTATGGCTGTCAAGTCACTGACCCCATGTCTTCAAAAATATTGTGATGCAAGGATTTATTTTCGGTAATGATTAACAATTTCAAATAGAATATTGTGTCTTTTCAACCCAAAATAGTTCACACAGTGTTGCCTACAACAGGAAACTGAATCTCATGTATTCTTGGGTTTAAATTTGCCGTTTATATTACCATTTTGCTGATGAATAGTGTAATATAATACCATAATGAACAATAAACTGTGTGAAGAAACCGTTTGCAGTAAATTAAATTGCAACCTGTCTCAAAGGCCCTATTGCAAAGGCAGTATTGAATTACATTGGGAAACTCTCCCAAAGCGCCTTAATCCTTACAAATGACTGTAAATCACTACCTACTCTGAGCCAATAGTGACCAGTCACTGTGGATCCTGCCTACAATACGAGCTGCTTTATGACACTCATATCACGTTTCCCCTGGTGGATCATGAACCCCAGTTACACATGACTGGGGTGTTTCCTCCTCCGGTCTACAGCTGTAAATGATGCAGGGTTAATACTGGGATAACAACATAATCACGTCCGACCAGGGAGCTGCACACAGTAATGGCGCCATAATAAGCCGGCTAAAGCTAATAGGTACTGGTGGTTTACTCCAATAAGACTTGCAGTAATTGCGATGCAGTTTATGTCCCTCAGGTTAAATCAGGGGAGGGATCGGGCAGGAAGTGGACAAAAACCTGTCATTAAGAGTCTACAGTATAGGGGTACTGTATGGGGCTGCGCACAGATGCAAATCCACTATGAACAAACAGTGTGAAGCAACTCTCAAGACACTTACAAACAAGAACTGAAAGGTGCACTTATGCAACTTTTTGCAGGACGGTCTACATCTTGCTTGTGTCCATTCAAATGTTAATATAGTTAGTAAGTTAAATTTATTTCAAGCCCACGGAACACAATTTCACATATCTTTACACTTATACAGGTTTGAAAAGGAAGCAGATACTTATTTGTCCCCAACCCCCCCTCATAATTCAACACAATAATCCAATAACACACATAATACAAAGCAATTCATGAACATACAATATAAATACTACCGTAATATACCATACCCCACCATGGGGTATAGACACACAAAACACCCACATACACACAAACACATACACCGGCCCAAACACTCTCTGACCCTGGAGAGTGATGATTAAGTATGTGACGCTAATAAACTTCGGGCAGAACCACCTTGTGTCTGGTTTCTCACACAACAGTGCCAACAAAGGGAAAAAAGAGTATGAATTGGGAGAATCTATTTCCCAAAAATGATTCCCAATAAGTCCATATCATCATGATAAAAAAATATCAGCAACAAGAACAGCAGTTAGTGTGCCTCGGAGGTTTCCTCCTGGTGCTCTGGTGTCCCCTATACTACTAAGAACAGGTCCACAAATAGGTCCACTGTGCACCTCCTCTGTGGAGTGAGAGGAACAAATGCAAGACTTTGTGCTCAGTCTGTGAAATGCAATATGTAAATCTAAAGGATTACTAACTTGCTACTTATTTTACTTTTTTTATTTTTATTTATTTATTTTTTCAATATTTTTGAAAAGCCTCTAACTATGGGTTCAGGATGATGAAGAATGTGTTAATCAGCGTTGTCATGGCAGCAATTGAAAACACGATATCCTAATGAATGGGGAACAGATCCTCAAAACTGCGGGAAACAAGAAGCTTCAACAACAAATAGGAAATCATATCCAAACTTATAAGAACATGTCTGTCCCTGTTATTTATACATTTGTTCAAATGAATAATGTTCAGATATATTTTAGTAACATTATTGAACTCTATTGACGTACAGGCCTAAAAATAGCTTTTTACAGAAACCTCACTTCAGCGCTTCTATGAACAGTTTAATGATCGCTCCGCCCTTCCAGCCGCTCCTGCTCCTCTGTGGGTCAGACTGCTTCATTACTCTGGGTCAAACGCACCAGAAACACCTCCTGGTTCTGTGATCGGCCCACTTTCTACATACGAGCCTCACATCCGCAGTCTGGACAGCACATTTCCTCTGAAGCAAGCAGACGGCTCGCACATTTCAATTACAAACACAAGGGACAGATTTAATAGCAACTCGGGAGCTGTTAGTTTGGGCCGTGGGTGGGACAGGGGGGATGCAAGTTATTAAGTTTATCTGCTGAGTTGAAAGGCTTCCTTCATAGGTTCCACATCAAACTTTTGAAAATATAAATCAGATTTAAGCCACTGCCGCTCAATGCATCTATCAACAAGTCTCTGAGACACAGTTAAGAACATGCTAATATATTATCACGAGTAGATGATATACTGTAAAACACATTGATCTGTAAGGAAAGGAAAACTGGCAACGTTACTTATAAAGAAAGCACATTTTGTCAGCTGTGGTTAAAGATGAGAAACCTGTGAATCATTATTCTACTTTGACATGTTCAAATCTGCCTTAAAAACATCTGACTGTCACTATATCGTTATCAGAACAAAGAGGAACGCATCAGACATTGCATGACCAATTTCTCTTCATTTGAGCCAAAATGCTTAGAAACTGTTGAATAGTATGTGTATCACTGAAGAGGAATGAGAAGAGTAGAAATAACATTGCTTCAAAATCCAGGAATCAACTTCAAGTGTGTAAATAAATATTATATAATTCAATAAAAGCTAAAAGTGAAACCTGGTTCACCCTGACCTTTATTTTTTAAACTATGAATATATATTACCCCAACAGAACAACAGGTGTTTTGGAAAATTACGATTATCAGAACAAATCAAATCACAATTCTTGGCATAATTGCAAGAATGAGCCCTGTGAGTCACTATATGATGCTTTGGGCTGAGGGAAGGTGGCTATTTCTTCTTCACTCTCGATCTTAAGATGTGAAAGGCCATAATAAATGCATGTGAAAGTGTTAGAAATAAAAATGAACTGAAATATTTGTCGTAGATTAACCACACAGAGACGGATCGTGGCGCACCAGAGCTTCTGGAAGTTTATTAGGTTTCCTTCAGGTTTCAGTTGTTTCAGTTATTTCAGACAGAACAAAGTCAGGACATGTTTTATATAGTCATTGTTATACGTGTCGCATCAAGAGACAATCAGACAGATCACACTAGAGTCATAACATGGATACACAATGGGTTGTTGTGACTTACAGAGGGCCACATCACTTGTATAGCTATCTAATTCTTATATATTGTATGGTGGGCTTCGTCCATATAGTACGTAAGCTGCCATCTCTCACACTTTCAAAATAAAAGTCTCCGGGGAACTGATGCTGCCGCCTGTCATGCATGAGTGATTAAACTGGAGGTGACAGCCCCATCCCCAAAGTCTCACTGGCAAATCAAGAGAAACAGAGACCCCCGCTTGACCCCCCTCCCGCGGTGTGTCAGAGGTGACCTTCTGGAGAGGACAGATGTCAAGGTCTTAAAATGTGAAAATGAAACTAAGCAACTTGAAGCCATCTACAGGAATCCAGAACAGCAATTATGAATTTAGTGATGTCTTAATGACATTTGGAGGCACATTGACTGAGGGGTTTGGATTCCCACCACTCATCAAGAAGGTTCCCAGGTTTTGTACCAGATTGTGTGGGCTTTTGCACAGTTTTATGGGTAGTTTGCATGTCTGTGAGTAGATTTCCTCTGGGTCTATAAATCGAAAAACAAGACATGTTGTATTTCCCTTGTGCAGTATATAAAACGAATGTCCTTCTTGAAACGGATAGTGTTTTCCAATCTTATAATTCATTCCAATGTTGTATTTAGACTGATTCGTGCATGTTTGAATATTATAGTCTTTTTAGGATTCAGCAGTTTTGTGTGATCGTTTTGGCACAAATGAATCCTGAAGGCAGCAGAAGGTACAAATGATAGCATATTCAATGTAAAAAAATCAGTAAAGTGTCTCAAAAAAGCAGTGCACAAAGGTCTGAAGCTTCACCTTTTACCGTTAATTTGGGACAATAACCAAACGCACACAGCCCAACCGACCGGCTTAAAATGCTCTGATAACATGCACAAATTCTGAGAAGAGATTTAATTTCCTCCCAGTCGGCAAAGGATTTTAAAATATGTATTCATGAGTGCAGACAGCAGCACCCAGGCAGAAAAAGATTGAAGCTGGCTGCCTATAAAATTAATCTTTCAACACAAATGTCTGTAGAAAAGGGCTTATGAGATTTATAAGACTGGGTTCAATCAGTGTGTTTCTTCTTGTTAGATTAATGAGGAAGAGATAAGAAATGGACTATTAACCATCCAGCCACCAATTGTAGATAACAAAATGTTGAGGGTTGAATGTAACAAAGGAAGCAACTTGACTCTATAGGTGAAACAGATGATTAAGAGTGTGTATTGAGTAGTGGTCAGCCATGTTAATTCAGTATAATGTCCCCTTGTCATGGTCCGTCTGGTGCCACCACCCACAGACAGCAGCTCGGGGAGAGAGTCCCAAAATGCAACCCCCACCCCCTTCGCCTCGCCTGCTCCTGGTCTTCTGGGTGGCTGTTGCTGAGTAAGAAGCTGGACATGTGAAAGTTCTGATGTGTAAACTCTCAAATGTCATCCACTGTGTTCAATGTTTTCAAAAGGATCAGCAAAGTTGGCATAGTATAGATTATGTCCAAACCAAATTACAGGTTAGATCTAGCCATCTTCAGCCATTTTTGGGGAACTGGATGGATCTTTTGACTAAAAAGAAATGGGGTGATGAGATGGGACCAGTCGTTGGCATTGTGAAAAAATTATATAGAATTGTCTTGTCAGTCAATATACTTGGATGAGATGGAAAATAGAAAGAATTTTTATAACATACCACAACAATATCCATCTGTATTGACATTAAACATGTTCAATTTAAAATGAAAATTAAGTTTTTCACATGACATTTCAGGATTTACATTTGGTAATTACCAGTTTAAAGTGTAATGTTTCTTTTAAATGACCCTCAAAAAAAAAAAATTTTTTTATGAAAATTTGAATTGTGTTTGTCAATGGCTTTCCTTTCCTATGTCTGTCCTTTATCTATGAATATAGTTTATGTTGATAGTTCACTACTGGCCAGGCACTAGAACTACATTGTTTTCAGTCACTGTGTAGACGCTTTGCACTTTGAATCCGGAGCATGGTCGTATTTGCGAATTTCTTGACTGCGTCTCTGTGTAAACAGGGCCTAATGTCCTGTTTACACGAGGACGCTGCAACAGTAAAACGTTAGAGTTGGGTATCGGATTGGCCTTTCGTTTACATGGAGGAGAATTCTACGTCTTTGTTCGTTCAAACTTAACCATACAAATCTGTAGTTTCAGTTTCCATTTTCACTGCTGCTGATAAATCCAGAATGATGTTGGTGCATTCTTTCATGTCTTTGCAGTGGCCTGAGGAGAATATTGTTGAGGAAGTGGTTCTACTGCTGGGGGTCGGGTGTGTCGTCTAGTAAAGTTCCACTGCCCACTACTGGCCGGGCGCTAGAACTACATTGTTTTCCGTCATTGTGTAGACGTTCACTTCGAATACGGAGCCTGGTCGTTCCTGCTAATTGCTTTCCAGCGTCTCCGCAGCGTCTCTGTCTAAATGTGCATAAATTTGACTAGAAGCATGAAACACTTTCCCCCTAATGGTGCTTTTAGACCGTCAACGCTGAAACGCACGTTTTCTAGTTTTCAGACGCAGGGGTTTTCACACCAGAGCTCCTGGCGTGCGGCGGAAGTGCCGGAAGTTCTGATGCTAACAGAGTTTAGCTAGCGGCTTCTTGTGTACAGATCTTCTCAAATAATGCAGCTTTGCAGCTTGTCTGTGTTTAGAGACCTTCCACGGACTTTATATAACAGCAGTATGTATTCACGGCGGTGCGCAATAAGTTTATTTTATTATTAAACGGTACTTCCGCATCGGCGAACACGCTCGAAGCAGTTGCATATGTCACGGGAGCATGAAAACTCACATGTTCATGTCAAACATAGATTTTAGCCTGGGACTCCAAATCTAAAGCCAGTTTTATTTGTGTGTAGTGTTTTTAGTGTGACCTTGTTTTTATATACTGACTTTGGCTTGAGCCTGGGACAGTCCTGATTGATAGCCCTCCCCCTTATGATTGATTGGTCGGACTGGAGGACTTTCCCCTTTTTAAAACCCGGACAGAGGGACTGAAGGGAGGAAGGAAATCGGAAGCGTTACGGGGGACGAGGACAGAGGACAAGGGGAAACAAGGACCATCACGCACCAGGACCAGCACGCACGCGGAGCAGCACGCACCAGGACCAGCACGCACGCGGAGCAGCACGCACGAGGAGCAGCACGCACGAGGAGCAGCACGCACGCGGAGCAGCACGCACGAGGAGCAGCACGCCCCAAGGAGAGACCTGCAGAGCCCACATACAACGCCCCGTAAAGCTGAGTATACAGGGACGTGATCAAGCAGCCTCAGTTGGTGTGTGTGCGTGCGCGTGAGACCGGAGCGTGATTGCCCACTCTCTCCGCAGCTGCATTGGCGTGGCGCATCAAGCCCCAGCCCAAGGAGCAGCGGACCCGGCCCAGCGGAGCAGCGGACCCGGCCCAGCGGAGCAGCGGACCCGGCCCAGCGGAGCAGCGGACCCGGCCCAGCGGATCCAGCTCAGGGGAGCACTGTATATAACGCCAGACGAGCTGAGTACTTACAGGGACGTGAACAAGCTGCCCCAGACTCTGTGTGTGTGCGTGCGCGTGAGACCGGCGCCTGATTGCTTGCTCTCTCAGCAGCTACCCTGGTGTGGCGCACCAAGCCCCAGTGGAGCAGCAGACCCGGCCCAGCAGAGCGGAGCAGTGCGCCAGGCCCAGCCCGAGCCCCAGCAGAGCGGAGCAGCGCGCGCCAGGCCCAGCCCGAGCCCCAGCAGAGCGGAGCAGCGCGCGCCAGGCCCAGCAGAGAGCGGCCCCAGCAGAGAGCGGCCCCAGCAGAGAGCGGCCCCAGCAGAGAGCGGCCCCAGCAGAGAGCGGCCCCCTTAACCTTTTATTTTGACCAGACCTTAAGACCCTTAGTCTTATTTTAACTCTTAATTGGCCATTTTAATTAGCGCCATAGGGCATTTTATAATCATATTTATTAATAAAAGTATCTGAAGTCTAAGCCTGTTTATATTCATTTTTAAACAGTTATTGGTTGTTCCACACCTGACACAATTTGGCGTTGCTGGCAGGATAACCAAAAAAAAAACTGTTTGAGAATGAATTCAGGCCAGCAAGGTACGGGCCCGGCCATTACAGCCCAATTTACGATGCCATGGTTTATGGGGGCCGCCTTTATCCCAAAGTTTGACGGCGAGACCAACAAATTCGAACCATGGAAAGCTCAAATAGAAGCTATGCTGAGAGCACAAGGACTGGGCATACAACAAGCAGCAGATTTCATTCTGTCAGCCCTTGAAGGAGATGCCAAGAGAGAGCTGCTTCTCATCAGTCACAGAGAGAAGAATTCCAGCCAAAAGGTATTTGATCTATTACAATCGCTTTATGCAAAACCAGTAAGCAAAGCTCAATTGCGAAGCCATTTTTTTAACTGTAAACAAAGAAATGATGAAGGTGTAGACGCTTACATCTTACGCCTCCGTGAGCAGTTTAAGAAATGGCAAGAACAGGATGGGGCGGAGGCTGCAGACGAGGACGATTTGCTGCTTGACCAATTAATGGTAGGTTTAAAAAAGGGCCCCATTAAACAAGAACTGAGCAGGCAAATGCGCCGAGAGGGACATATGACTTTTAAAAATGCTTGTAAAGAGGTTAGGGCACTGGCATCTGAGTACGATGAAGAAGATGCTTTACAGTCTAATAGGGTAACTTACGCTCCACAACAAAGAGTAAATTTTGACCATGAACATTTAAAGACTCTGATAAAGGCTGAGCTGAAGGAAGAACTTTTTAAGGACATTAAAATCGAGATGGAAGAACAACTTAAAACTCTCTCTTCTGGCCTTATATCAGAAATTAAGGCACAATTTTCCAACCACCAACAGTCTGCTGGGACTCCAACTGGCCAAAGAGCAAGACCCCAAAGCCGGTCTGTAGGCACACCCTTTAAGTGGGACCCAGAGGGTAGGCCCATTTGTGTGAACTGTGGGGGGGCTGGACACACTCAGCGGTGGTGTCCCCAGAGGCTTCAGAGGTCTCAGGATTTTTGACTCTCCCTGCTGCTGAGGGCCAAGCAGTGGGGGCAGTTCAGTTGGGGGCAGAACCTGAAGCCAGTGCTCCACCGGCCTCAAAGTCTGCCCTAATTGGGCAGCCACCCGGGTCTCCTGGCATTCCAGACCACCATGCCAACAACGGAGGGGAGAGTCTGGTCCAGAGCCTTTGTTGACTGCCAGCGGGTCACAGCCAGATGCCGAGCCCCACGCTACGAAGGAGTCGCTAAGCTGCCACACCAGTCCCCAGTCGTCATTCCACCACAATCTGAAATCGTGTTGTGGATGCAGGTAACAAACAGCCCCCCTAATTCGTCTTGTGATGTTCTTCTAGAACCCGTATCGGACGGCGAGTGTGAGTGGCAAGTTGGAAGGACCTTAGCGACCGTGACTGGGGGAAGCGTTCCGTGCCGGGTCTGTAACCCTAATCCATACCCGGTGGAAGTACCCCAGCGGCGGCCCCTTGCCAGAGTCACTGAAATAGATGGCGCTGACGTACAGGGACAGAATGAGCTGGTGCTTAACCCGGTGGCCCCTGACGTAGTGGAAGTAGCTGTGAGGCATGTGGGAACGGCGGTCACACAAGATGAGGCCCCCCACCCAGTCCTGACACTTCAGGGTGAAGGCCTTACGCCTGAACAGCAAGACAAAATGACACAAATGCTAAATGCATGGAGACATGTATTCTCCTCTCATGAGGAGGATTTTGGACGGACGGGGGTGATAAAACATCAAATCCCCACCGGTTCTGCTGCCCCCAGCCGTGAACGGTACCGCCCAGTTCCACCTAGCCTGTACAAGGAACTTCAGACCCTCCTTAAGAATATGCTGGACAGCGGAGTGGTAAAAGAGAGCTCCAGCCCATGGGCAGCCCCAATTGTATTGGTGCGCAAAAAGGATGACAACTGGAGGTTCTGCGTCGACTATAGGAGGCTCAACGCCCTCACCCACAAAGACGCATATCCCCTGCCTCGCATTGAAGAGTCGCTCACCGGGCTAAAAGCAGCCAGGTGGTACTCTACACTGGATTTGGCAAGTGGATACTGGCAGGTGGAGGTGGATGCTGCAGATCAGGAGAAGACTGCATTCACGACCCCGTTTGGACTGTACGAGTTCGAGCGGATGCCGTTTGGACTATGCAATGCCCCTGCCACCTTTCAGCGGCTCATGCAGCGGTGCCTGGATTTTCAGAGCCACATGCAGCACCTGGAGGACGTTTTCCAAAGGTTGAACCAACATGGCCTCAAACTACAACCCAAGAAGTGCCACCTGTTCAGACGACACGTAACCTATTTGGGCCACGTTATCAGTGAGAACGGGGTGGCTACTGACCCAGCCAAGACTGACGCTGTTCGAGACTGGCCCATACCACAAACAGTAAGGCACCATGAAAAGAGGCCAGAAGAAGCACTTGTACAAGCTGTGGGTGCTGTGGTCTCCAATGAGGGAACCTGGGAGGAGTACCAGAGCGAAGATTCAGATCTTGCCCAGCTTCTGCAGTGGAAAACACTCGGACCCCTTAAGCCTGAGGGGTCGAGGGGAAAGCTAACACCAAAATGGGGCCCGGAGCCATTTGTGGTGGTGAGGAGGCTCCAGGAAGACCACCCGACCTACATGGTTCGACCGGAGGGGAGAGAAGCACCTAGCCGTACGGTTCACCGGAATAACCTCCGTCTTTGCCCAATTGACTTTGTGCAGGAAAGGCAGCAACCGGCAGCACCACAACTATCAATTGGACACAAAGCTGATGAGCTGCCCCCCCCCACACTTTGGCTCCCAAGGCTGGCGCAACCAGAGCTCCCCCGCAACGAAGCACCCCAGCCAGTAAGCCCACCTGACCCAAGAAATGGCCCAGTTCCCCCTGTGAGACGTTCCCACCGGTCAAATATTGGCAGGCCCCCTGTTCGGTATCAAAGGTAATTGGCCGGGACGACCAACTATAGAGGTGGGGGGTAAATGTCAAACATAGATTTTAGCCTGGGACTCCAAATCTAAAGCCAGTTTTATTTGTGTGTAGTGTTTTTAGTGTGACCTTGTTTTTATATACTGACTTTGGCTTGAGCCTGGGACAGTCCTGATTGATAGCCCTCCCCCTTATGATTGATTGGTCGGACTGGAGGACTTTCCCCTTTTTAAAACCCGGACAGAGGGACTGAAAGGAGGAAGGAAATCGGAAGCGTTACGGGGGACGAGGACAGAGGACAAGGGAAAACAAGGACCAGCACGCACCAGGACCAGCACGCACGCGGAGCAGCACGCACCAGGACCAGCACGCACGCGGAGCAGCACGCACGAGGAGCAGCACGCACGAGGAGCAGCACGCACGCGGAGCAGCACGCACGAGGAGCAGCACGCCCCAAGGAGAGACCTGCAGAGCCCACATACAACGCCCCGTAAAGCTGAGTATACAGGGACGTGATCAAGCAGCCTCAGTTGGTGTGTGTGCGTGCGCGTGAGACCGGAGCGTGATTGCCCACTCTCTCCGCAGCTGCATTGGCGTGGCGCATCAGGCCCCAGCCCAAGGAGCAGCGGACCCGGCCCAGCGGAGCAGCGGACCCGGCCCAGCGGAGCAGCGGACCCGGCCCAGCGGAGCAGCGGACCCGGCCCAGCGGATCCAGCTCAGGGGAGCACTGTATATAACGCCAGACGAGCTGAGTACTTACAGGGACGTGAACAAGCTGCCCCAGACTCTGTGTGTGTGCGTGCGCGTGAGACCGGCGCCTGATTGCTTGCTCTCTCAGCAGCTACCCTGGTGTGGCGCACCAAGCCCCAGTGGAGCAGCAGACCCGGCCCAGCAGAGCGGAGCAGTGCGCCAGGCCCAGCCCGAGCCCCAGCAGAGCGGAGCAGCGCGCGCCAGGCCCAGCCCGAGCCCCAGCAGAGCGGAGCAGCGCGCGCCAGGCCCAGCAGAGAGCGGCCCCAGCAGAGAGCGGCCCCAGCAGAGAGCGGCCCCAGCAGAGAGCGGCCCCAGCAGAGAGCGGCCCCAGCAGAGAGCGGCCCCAGCAGAGAGCGGCCCCAGCAGAGAGCGGCCCCCTTAACCTTTTATTTTGACCAGACCTTAAGACCCTTAGTCTTATTTTAACTCTTAATTGGCCATTTTAATTAGCGCCATAGGGCATTTTATAATCATATTTATTAATAAAAGTATCTGAAGTCTAAGCCTGTTTATATTCATTTTTAAACAGTTATTGGTTGTTCCACACCTGACATTCACAAGCACTATGTCCCCCATTATCAACCCTGGTTTAGTCCTGATGAAGCTCCTGTTTTCGCTGTTTACGAGTATTTTCAGTCTGCTCGCTCAGTCCGCAAAAGTCCCCTTGCGGCTCTCTGATTGGTTGCTGCTTGAACGTCCCGAGGAAAGGTTGAGCAAAATCCATCTCCTGCGTTCCTCCCCTTCGACTTCCCAGCGCGGTCCGTGCGTGCATTCCGTGACGTTCGTGCGTTTTGACGCTCAAACGCGCATCACCATTGACTTTGCATTGAAAGCCAACGCAACGTATGATCCGGTCTGAAAGCCATAACACCAGGGGGTACTCATCTGCTGGTTAGAGATTATACAGGGCAAAAAAGGTTGGGAACCACTGGGCTAAGTGAATGGAGTGAATTGTCCCATAATCAACATGTGTGACTTGAAACAGTGTTAATAATGACAATCAAATACAATGAAAACAAATTGCTCGTTAACATCTCTATAGTCCATTAACTTTTATCACGTGTGGACAATGGGAGCGGTGTGTGTAAAACTACTGGAGATCTCTAGCACTCAAAGCAGAGGGATATACTATAGTGGAAGTGACACCTTTCTGATTGTTCTCTCACGTCTCTCGCATCTTCGTCAAAAGGTGTTAGTGTTTGTGTCGCGTTAGAGGAATAATGGCCGCTCTGTCCCATACACTTCATGTCCTGCCAAAGAGGAACAAAGACACATTGTATTGAGATCTGCTGCAGCTCTGCACTGTTTATAGACTCACTTCATCATGGCCTCATAGACTGTAGTGCAGCTATCAAGTGGGGTTCGAAGTTAATGGATGTAACATTGAGACTGTAGTTGTGGGTAAGATACATTTAAAGCTGGGGTAACTTTTTTTTCACAGAAGGTCATGTAAAACGTGAACAAATGAAACCATTATCTTATCTTTTACATACTACAAGGGCGAAGATTGTTCTTTTTTTCATTTTCTGTCTGGAAAAACTGATCTAAACATGTGGCAAGAGGCCAAAAAATAGATGCCTGTGAAAATATAGTGATTAAATCAAAGTGTTTTTGGTTGGTGAGCCTGGAACCAGTGATAAAGTTAAATAGTACATTTTTGGGTTTAAGAATATAGGTACTCCAGCTTTAAACAATAATGAGATTTCACAGCTTAACACAGCAAACAGTTGATAATTGAATCAATAATATTCGGTGCAGTTTACAAACATTACAGTAGTTCAAATTTATTATAAGATTTTTTCTGTTTGCTTGGATTTTTCAAGGCCTTGAAACCCAGCGCCCATAGCCTCAGTCTTTATTATTATTATTTTTAATTGTTTGTCATTTTTGTTTGAAGTGAAAAGGTTGCATAAATGTTTTCTTGTGGAAAACTATTAATGCCAGTCTGAGTGTCTCTTTCAGTCGTATTCCTCTTCTTACCTCCTCACAGCAGGACTTGGTGCATTCAGGGGTTCTTTCCTGATAAAGCAGCAGTAGGATCACCATATCAAGGCCAGCTCACGCTTATGCAAAAACATGCAGACACAACAAACCCGGCTCCCTTCAGGGCGCAGTATCTGTGTGAAGGCTGATTAGACACAACCTGCTGTCTGCTTGGAATGCACTGCTCACTACTCTATGCATCTGTTATTGTGTTGGTGCTGAGGGAGTAATGAAAATATATTTATATTTCTTGTTTCCCGTTTGTTATAGCATATGCAGCTAACTTGACTACATAGGATAGACGTAGATAGTGTGTTTGTGAACATTGTCTGGTGTGCCATGAAAAACGTTTCACCTATTTCACCTGGTCTAAACGCATCTTAAAAGGTCCTTTTTTTCGTCCCAGAGAGGGGAAACTTCAGTTTTGATTATACACCTACACATTAAGGCATGCAGTAAAGTAGTTAAAGTGTCTTGCCCAAGGACACAACGACAGCATCAGTGGAGTCTATGACCAAGCTACTATGCAGGCATAGCTAATGGGTTTCAACTCCATATGAAATAAACGGTTTTAAAAACTCAGAGATGTAATATACTAGTTTTAGTTTTACATCATTCTGACATCAGTGAAAAGGTTCTATGACATATAGTTTCAAATACACATGAATTAAAACAAATAAAAAGTACATATGCTGTACGCTGTGCTTATTAATAACCACTCCAAGCCACTGCCGAATGTCAAAAATGTTAATTTTAGATGTCCTTCTCACATGAAGGTCAACATCCTCCCTCAGCAGCAGCAGCAGCAGCAGCAGCAGCAGCAGCAGCAGCAGCAGCAGCAGCAGCAGCAGCAGCAGCAGCAGCAGCAGCAGCAGCAGCAGCAGCAGGGTGCTGGACCCTCGCCCACGTCTCAATACTCCCTGGTCGCACGAGCTGTGTGAGGCGCGCGCTCCCACAATAACACTATTGACGTCACGAGCCATCGTTGGACACATGCTGCCTTCAAGTCCCATCGTGATAGTCAGAATTTGGAGTTTTACTTTGAATATAGCCGTGAACGTGATGAAAGAAGTACCATTTCGTTTGAAAATGTCATAAGATAATCGACATTCATCCCGCACTGGAAACATTTCCCTTTTGCGACGCACAGTTAAAGAATAGTAGAATTCAAGGGCACTGTACAAAACATTAGCAGTAGGGGTTATAAACTATTCTTTATAGCGGAGAAAGAGATTTTTCCAAGTTAATGGTCCATTCCTGGTACAAGATATTCCAATAATACCAGTTGCTACATATATTGAATGCAAATGGAGGACGAGTGGACTATACCAAACACTGAGAAGTTAGAGTTAAAACTGTTGGACTCTTATTACACCTCTTTTACAAAGGACATCCAATAAACAAAACCAAAGTACTACAAAACACTAAAAAGGTCATAAACATTCAAAAATAAAGATGCCCATTATAAAAGATAGGAAAAGGTACAACTTGTACTTAACTTGCTATGTTAAGTACCAAAAGTAATTAAATCTGGAAAGAGTCCAGACGAAGATTGCATTTGAATATTTATTGTCCAGTTGTACCAGCAGACTTGTTGATTGAGTACTAATATATTTATTGCATTTGAACATGAAATGTTCATCAAGATTGGCAATTGGACCCCGGCAGAAATACTGCATGACATGTGCAGAAGGGAGTTTATAGAAATGATGAGTTTGCAAACCCCGCCGCGGCCGAGACCCTGGTGGTGAAGAAGCTGAGTCTGAGACATGACATGATACTCCACTGAAGAGGTAGTGATGAGGAGGAGGAGGTGGGTTGTTGCTCAAACAGCAGCATGAAGCTGCAGAGAACTGAGAGGCTCTGTTTAAATGCAGCCATGAAGTGATGATGAGCACAGGTTTGTCACTGAGCAGCTGAGGCTGCTGAGCTCAGGCGTGTAGAGAAGGAGGAGTTCAGTGTGGCAGCATGGCGTCTCTTTTGGTCTTCCAGTCTGAATTTACGCTTAAGCTTCAGAGTCACACCGTTATGAATATGAATAGACTGAAAGCATTTCTGAAAATAGAAAGACTTTAAAGTACTTGAATACAGCAAATACTATTGTCAGGAATGAACCAGGCAGAGACGACTCGTGGTGCGCCAAACTCTGGATTCACAGAGGAAAGCGCTGAAGCCAAAATTTGGCAGAAGTGACTGCATAAGCATGTGCACTCACTCGATCCAGATCATTCATTATGTCATTGCATGTCAATGGCATTCCCTTTCAACAAATATTCAAATCTCCAAACTCCTCTCCTTAAATTCTGTCCCAATGTATTTTGTATCCTCTGCTATCTCGAATATTTGGATCGAGAGGCTCAAAAAGACCCTTTCAGGCTATATTTCACACTTCACACAAGCACTACACGTCTGGAATAACCTCTGGAGAGAGCCCACTCAAGGCCACCCACGTTTCCCACGGCCCCTGAACACACCGCGCTGCAAAGCTGTGAGAAGCGCAGATTGGAGCGCAGACTGGAGAGAGGAGAGCGCCTGGACACGACGGCCATCTTAGGCACGCACACCTCCCGGATTTATTCTTCTGGTTTATAAACGACATATCGATCCTGACTGAAGGGGGAGAAGACATAAGGAGGCAACGTTTTCCACTTCGCCGCGATTCACACTCGAAGTCGGGATGCGGGTCCGAGGGGATACACATTTTGCATCCGCTGGATTGGTCCTCGCACTGTTGTTATGCACTACCCTCGCGGCTAAAGGTAACTAAGCTGGGGATTTGCATTGCCTTATCGCTCGTGTTCGCCTGTTGTCTTGTGGGAAAGCATTGCTGATAATACTGCTGCCATATTAACAACATAAACTGCGGTATTTAATACAGGCGCTGGTCTTATTTAGATGCGCGCTCAGGAACCTGTTCAGGGATGGTCCGCTGCGCACAAGGATGAGGCAGTGGCCAGTCCGCAGCAAGTGCATCTCTCGCTGCAATTCCACATTTAGATGAATCACAAAGCTATGCAATATGAATAACATGTTAAATACACCGCATGACGTGATAGTAACATTTATTTTTCAAAGTGAATTACACATCAGTTCAAGTTAGAAAATAATTCGAGCTTTCCAAATGACCTCTTGTGCTATTTGCATTCAGTCTATTCTTGGTGCCAGATTGTTCTATCATTTATAACACCTCTGTAACAGGATGCGATGTTATCTAGCACTTTTATACAACCATTGTTTGGTTTTATCTCTATTCCTGTTTGAAGTCCACGTCTGGTTATTCTTATAGTAGTATAGTCCCATAGGCCTGATGCTTTGGCTTGGCAGCGCTGGTTGGCTACGCATTGCAGATGGTCCCCTTCAAAAGCCTCTGTTTTTGTCACTGGATTAAAAATATATGTGATCACTACCGGCTTAAACATAATGCAGCAGTGGCAGGTCATGTCACTCTCAATGACCACATATTCTACTATTTAGCTCTAAGGATTATACATGCAAGGGCTGTATGCACTGAAGGCTACTGCTGGTTTATTGTAAATCTTAAACTATGGCTATAACTTTTAGCTGAACTTATATTTATTTTTTTGTCAGTCATACTGTTGTGTCTTATTCTGATTTAATGAATAATTGAAATGCTTGTTGTTTTATGCAAATTAGAGCAGATATTTATACACATTGCTGTATAATCTCAAGTGTCTTTTAAAAAACGTTTAGCTTTTAATTCTTTAACACAAAAAGAACACACACACAGGTCCAGGACAAATAAAACGATGATATACAACCACAATCTGTACAAATATATCTAAATATCTGCCTAGTTCCACAAGCCAAATTACAATCTATTTTTATAACCATCTTGAATGAAAGTTGCAAAAAGCGAAGTAAAGAGAGTGGTTACTAGGCAGGTGTGTGCTAAATCATTGGACATTTGGCCACAGCAGTTCCCCACACTACGGCCGATTTATCGTGGTTCTTTTCACACAAGTTGAATGAAAAAAGAAACTTATAGGGTTTCTGTGAGAAATGAGTCTCCAGTAGCTTCCTTCGTCATGCAACCATATATTTCTGCCGTTGCTAAGTTCATGAGCTGGGAATGCACTGTGGAGGTCCATGTTGTTAGTGCAATGGTTTATGTCTTCTTTATTAATCCTAGAATTTTTTTCACTTCTTTTTATCCTGCTGTTTGTGTGTGTTGACGTGCACCTGCTGGCCTTTACGTTCTTATCTACAAAGGCATGAGAAATTGCCAGGTTGGTGGCAGCTTATCGTCAATCATCCAAAGGTCACCATGAGCAATTATTGAGGAAGTAAATTTAAGTAATTTGAATGTGTTTTCAAGATATCACACAATTTATTTACATCTCAGGCTAAGGCTACGCACAGTATTGTACATTGTGTTCTACAAAGCTATTCCAAATTCATTTAAAACAGTTTAACATTGTCCAGTTTGCAATCTTACCGATACAGCACTAGTATATTGTCTTGATTGTAGTAAATGGTCAAACATTTTATTGCCAACTCATTCATTGTTAAAGGTGTAGTAAAGGATTAATGTTAGCTTAACAGTAGCATCCGATTAGCACTGAGTCAAGAGAGAGGGTGGCAAATGTGAAATTGGCACTTGTTTTAGAAAATCTGACTCAATAACAACTCAGACAGGTGCACGCACTAACGCACTGAACGCATCCCATTGGTTCAGGAGGTTCTTTTAATTAGACCAAAAATGTAAAGAAGGTAGTACTGCTTAATTACCTGACATGTTTCGGCGGTATACACTGACTTTCTTTACATTTTAAGAATACAAAATTATAAGAAGACAAAATTAACTTTTTACATTTAAGTTCTGGAATTAGTTCTGTGCACATGCAACAATTTACAAAACACTAGTGAATTCTTTAATCCGATTGATGAAGACGAAACCCCGTCCATTCTGTGGTTGCAATGCGGTTGAGTTTACACGTCAAGTGGATTGGAATGAGACAGTGATTTAAAATATATGTATGTAAGGTACGGGACCATAACTCGTCAGACCTATTTGATGGAGTTCAGTTTCAATGATTGTAAGAGATTGTAACCAAAGCTTTTTTGTAACCAGTTCAGTTAATCGTTTCAGCCCTAATCCTAATTTGTATGGTTAAACAGTGTTTGCCCATGTCACTGTGGTAAACCAGAGCAGCCATACATCACCTTATCACCACGCCCCATTCCACCATCCTCCACGCTAAATATCACTTGAACACTATTGCTTTTTACCCCAGCTGTCCATTTGCACCTGTGTGGACAGTTGGACTTGTTTTCTCTGTTAGAACTGCAGCTGGATGTTTTGACCAGTCTGTGCTGGGGTTTTGGCTGAGCTCTCGTGTGTACACAGACAAACACAAAAGAGGAGGGAGCAGCCTGGAAGTTTCGCGGCTCATTCATCAACACATTAACTGATCCTACTAGAGCAAATTGGGGGCCCTGCTTCCTTTGTACAAAGTTATTTAACATATTCATGGTTTATTCAGCTGGGATGGCATCCTACACACCAGTCCTCTCAGATTACCACACTCTTTGCAATGTCATTAGAAAAGATGGACATGGCGATCCAGTTTTCAACTTTGAGATGATCTATGATATGCAACTCTCACGTTGGTTCCCTAAAAAGCTTTGTGAAAGTTTTAAGATAAGAGAATTTGTATTAGACCAACAGTGGTGACATTTCTAGAGTAAGATAAAACGCTCTATTTCTCTAAATTATGTAATTCAATCAACTCAAAATTGTTGCAACAGTAATTCAATTGATTTGGGATTAGGGTTTCGTTCGCACGGAGACGGTGTTTCAGGAGGGTGAAAACGCTAGAAGCGTCTAGAAACGGCCTCCAGAGTGGAACAGAACAGACACGCTGCTCAGCGGGGGCTGTTTTACAGCTGTGTTATGAAGAAGGTGTGAAGTCTCTGCTGCAATGACCTCACCACTTCCCACACGAACATTTAGACATGCGCAGTAGCCGAGAACAAACGTAAACAACAATGGTGGCGGGTACACTAATGCTACGTGTGCGCCGAGCGCTAGACGGAGGGGCAATCCTACTCCTTCGTTCTTCCAAGTTTCCATTTTCCATTTCAGTTTCCATTTTTGCTGCTACTGTTTTATGCAGAATGATGTTGGTGCAAACTCGTCAGGCTTTGCGGTGGCCTGAGGAGAATGTTGCTGAGGCAGTGGTTATACTGATGGGGGTCGCGCGTGTCGTGTTGTGAAGTCCCACTGCCCCCTACTGGCCGGGCACTAGAACTACATTGTTTTCAGTTGTTGTGTAGACACTTAGGGACACTTGAATACGGGGCCTGGTCCTTTTGCAAAATGCTTTGCAGCGTCTCCGTCTAAGCAGGGCCTTAGTTTCATTTCTCGTGCCTGAGCTTTCCCAACATTTGTATGCGAGGACACCAACACGTCACATGACATTTGTTTTGATTTATCTGTTATGTCATCGGATAATAAGATAAACCTTTATTAGTCTCACAGTGGAGAAATTATTATAATTAATTATAATTACCCCACCAATAGTTAGGAAAAATGGTATTTCAAATGATTCATGAAGATTTAGTCTTTACTACAACCCAAGGAATTTCAGAAAAAAGGCAAATTAACAATAACTATAAAGTCTATAAACAAGGTGGTGGCATATGCACAACGCAAGAATGTGACTTAAATAAATGTCCTTTTGTGAAATAAATATGGGAGATAAAAATCAGTTGCATTGATCTGCTTTGACTTGTGCTTAAGGCTGAGTTGACAATGTGGCAGTAAAACGGTATAGTTGGATGTCGGTTGCTACCAACCGTTCATACGAAGACTGTGTTCCAGGGGGGTGAAAACGTAAGTGTTCAGATCCAGCCTGCAGAGTGGGACAACTCAGATACGCTGCACAGCGGGGGCTCTTTCACACCCGCGAGAGGGAAAAAGGTGTGAAATCCCCCTCTGCTCTGACCCCCGCCTCCGCGCTGCTCCCCGCACGTAAATTTGGACATGCGCAGTAGCGGAGAACAAACATCAACAACAATGGCGCTGCCCACACAAACTAGCTACGTGGGCTTCCAGCGCGGCACAGAGGATAACTCTACTCCTTCGTTCGTCCAAACGAGACCACGCGAAGCTCTAGGTTCAGTTTCCATTTTCACAGCTGCTGTTAAAATGCAGATAGATGTTGGTGCGTTCTGAGGGTCTGGCACAGGAAGTGAGTACACTGCCGAGAGGGGGGCTGGGCACGGGGCTCGGGGTCGTGTGTCGTGTTGTAAAGTTTGTCTGCCCACTACTGGCCGGGCGCTAGAACTACATCGTTTTTCAACCTCATGTGAACGCTGAGAAATTTGCATTAGGAGCCAGGTCGTTTCTGTTAATAGCCTGGAAACGTCTGCGCAGACCCCCTGAACATGTATGAAAACTCACCATAATCTTTTATTAAAATTTTTTTCTGGCAACAAATGAACTATTTTGATGTCTCTGCTATAAGACTAAAAAAATTTATTCGTAGGGGGGCGCTATTATTATTCAAAGTAAACGACCGATGTTTGCACATGCAAAGTCTGATTTGCTCAAAATTTGATTTGATAGTTCAACTCTCGAGTTTGGGTAAACTGAAAGTGTGAAACATGAGATTGCTGCATGAGCGCCCCCTACAGACTGAGTGCAGTGTTACATGGGGAGAATAAGGTTTAGTTTTTCAATAGAGACACAATCATTGATCATAGACATTCAAAATACATAGAGTTGCTCCCATCA